CTAGCAGACAAAAACACTCCTAAATTATTCTCTGATAGACAAAGACATCAAAAAAGGCTTCAATGAAAGGTAGGCAGTCATTTAGTTTCCTTAACCCTAAGCTCATTATACCAACTCCAGTTTTACATGCAAAGGGAAAAGACGGCTCTCTGATATCATGAGAGGTCTCCACACTGCCCTCTGTGCCTCCGCTGCCCAGACCCTGCCCATTTCACACTCAAATGACATGAAATTGAGTCAGATGGACCAACAGTCCTCCCGTGACCCGGCACAGACAAGGAGTTCAGCCTAATTGGACAGACCTCTCTGATTGAGGATGTGGCGTAAGGCAGCCAGCCCACGTTCTTCCACTGCCTTAGTGATCGGATACAGAGGAAAGAAGGAGGTCGACTGCCGAAGGGAATGGGGTGAAGACTTCTTTTGAAAGCAGAACAATTCTTTGACGAAAGAGTTGAGTTGGGGGAGAACATGGATAAGGAAAAGAGCGTAAGCATACCTGTGTGCATGAACCCTATGAGCAAAAAATAAACAAAACTGGGCTTTGACTGCACCCCACCCATACAACAGCCACTTTCATTTTAGCCTGATCAAATACTGATTTCCTGCACAATTAAATATCATATCAAAAGACAAAAAAAAAACACGTTCTGTGGAGAAACAACCATTTGTTAAATGTAGATTCTACTTAACTTCTCATTAATTACAGGTGGGAATTGGGTCTGAACATCAGGTGAAGAATGCTGCTACATTCAAATGTTGCTTCTGTCAATGATCTGCCTGGGGGCAGATGTGCACTCGTCAACACAACACTCAGTTTGCCTCCCCCTGCTTTGATTTAGGAATTAAACAATTACAAATATTGTTCCTAAAATGAAATCCGACCTGACTCGAGCCACACAAAGAGACCGTATCAGATTGAAAATCTAAGCTAAGTTATGTGTATGTGTGTAAATGTATACACCATTCATCAACAATAGTTTTTTCAAGGGCAACAAGGAGGAGATAAGTCAGTATTTGCTCATCTTTCTAATTTGTCCCTGGTATATTTCAGTGAATCCCAAGGGGCACATGGAAATATTGTTGAGTAGCTCAGCTAATTAGAAAAAATGATTTTAAAAATCCACATTTTCGGGTTAAGGAGGCAAATAAACATCCACATAGGATTACAAATTGGTGTGGGGCTGATCCTTAGTAACAGTTTTGTCAAAATACCCAATTAACTGCCAGCCTGCCTCCGTTCCCCACCAACCTGTGTCAGATATATTAACACTAATGCTTGCTGTTGAGAGTGCATCAAAAATAACTAGCAAGTGAGAAGAAAAACATGTATGCCTGGATATTAAATAAAATACAAAACAGATATTGTACCAACATCCATTATCTGCATTAAATGACATCCAGTATCTTATTGCATGCAATTCTTTTGAAACATGGCGGGGGGTGCTGATGACTGATCTGATAGGGCTGTGGGGGTATGTCAAATACATAAAAAGGTTTGACTCAATGCTGAATGTGCAATATAAACTATACACAAGGAAGCCTTCTTCTTGGGAAATCTATGAATGAAAAGAAAAACAGCAACAAACACACAAAGACGTTTAAGGGCTGGTTAAATTCTAAAAGAGACGTCTTATTTTCTCTGTTTAAATACGAAGCCAGAGGATTAAAAAGAGCAAAGCAGACCTACTGACCCTGTACACTAGTCAGGGTAAACACATACAACACACACACACCACACACACAACCCTACAATCACCCACTTACCCTTTGCCACTGGTGAAAGGCAACACGATCTCTTAACAACAGCCCGTCTTTTTCAATAAATGTTGCATGAAAACATGCCGCTGGAGCACCAAGTTGCCTGCTGTCATACTAGAGGAGTGTTAAATGTTTAATGACGACAACACCACACACTAGCGCGCACACACAGAGTCAGTGTCAGGGTGCCGCTCTGAGGGGCCCCTCTTTCATCCTGACAGACACTATGAAGCTCCTGAGCCTCCCCCCCCCCGACCCCGCCATCAACATCGCACGGCTCCTCTCCCACCACCCAGCAAGGAAACCTGGATGTAAATGAGGTTGGAGTGTGACAGTGTGTTTGTGTGTAAGTGGTGAGGATCAGGGGCTTACATGAAGACCCTACCCCCATCACCATTAAGAGTATAGGAAGAATAGGGGAAAAGACCGAGAAAAAAGACAAACGTGGCTTGTCATAGACAGGATATACCGAAGAAAAAATATGTTTTACATATTCTTGAAACATCTTACTTCTTTCTGATGCTAAAGGAATTCTCAACTCCTCTGGGAATATCGGGGGTGTAACAGGAACATCCATGTCAGGCATCTTTTGGACGTTGCTCATGAGATTCACAGATAGACCAACGTAGTTTTACTCATTCATGTGTGGTTATAGAAACAAATTAAGTCAAATTCAAAGCGGATAAAATGTTCATGTCGCAAAATATTAAAAAAATATTATTTCTATGTAGTAATCACTTTATTTGGACTTACTGGAGCAGAGCGCTTTGTTAGTGATGAATAATATTCTAGGGGATGTCAAAATTATGTTAAACAACTAAAACAAGTATACATTTTTGAACAATCCACCCCCTCCACCCACTGCATTTCTGTCTGATAAAGAGTGAATTACAGAAGCAGGAACGTTAAAGGATCATTTAATACTGAGAAACCTGCGTGCGATAATTTGCTATACAAGATTCACATTTGATTTTATGATCAAAATTAGCAAGTTTGGCACATCAAGCAAAAAAGCAGCACAGATTTAAGAAAAACTAAGTATTTATATTTATGTATTTGTCCGACGACAAGCCAGATCCACATGGTTTAATCAAAGCTACTCCTGCATCATACCTCCACAGGTTAATGTAAATTGGAAGGCGATATATTAACACTGCCACAGGTGGAAAAACACACACACACACACACACACACACACACACACACACACACACACACACACACAACACACACACACACACACACACACACAACACACACACACCACACACACACACACACACACCACACCACACACACACACACACACACACACACACACACACACACACACACACACACACACACACACACACACACACACACACACACACACACCACACACACACACACACCACACACACACACACACACACACACACACACACACACACACACACACACACACACACACACACACACACACACACACAAAGCGCTAAGCGGGGTCAGAGATAAAAGCTGAAGAGATTCTTATCGATGCCGAAGGATATTGAAGCCTTAATATGAAAATAGATATAGTCTGCTGGCCTTACATTTCACTGTTAGCTTTATTTGTTTTTCTGATACGGATCTAAGAAAGGCAATATGTAATGGCTTCAAATAAATGGAGCACTTTTTCTTTAAAAGCAAATCTTCATGTTCTGTTCATAGTGAGAAATCCTGAGCCCTGTGGTCATCGATAAACAATAAAACCTCCATAGAACGATGAAAGTAGTGCTAAATAAATGGAAAATGCATTAAAAGGCTTTTTTGTATTATTGTAACGCATCTGTTCTATCTTTTGAACTAACAAGTATAATAAGCGTATGAATCGTTATTTGAGACCAAAAGGTTGCAATTGCAAATAAACCAAAAAAAATATTTGAATGCCAAACTTTTTCTATTTCTAAATTGTGTGCAGGTTTTCCTCAGTTATATCTACGCATCCTACTTGAAAGATACATAAATCAGTTGTGTTTAAAAAGTCACTGTCAAAAAAACATTTACCTAATTTAATGAGATACAGCACACACACTCAGTTTGACGTTGATGCACAAAGTTTTATAAATGTTTCTCAGAGCATTTTTGTCTTATGACCGTTTCTTCAGTGATACGTTGCATCATCTGATTGCACTGTTGCGTCAAGAATACATCTGAGAAATGGAGATCATATTCAGTTAGATCAAACAGTCGTTAAAAACTAAAATGCCATTTGGCTATTGCTGCATATTTCTGTAAAGTCAATCCAAAAAGCCTGGAACCCAATAATATTTTCCTTCAGACCGGACTAGGTGCAAAGTATTCAAAGCATTTTTATGTTTCACATTCACATCTATGCACATGATTGTGAAGTCCTCCGCTAGGTGACATCGGCTGACAAGAGGAAGACAGAGACGATACCAGGAGTTTTGATGCAGTTCATCTGGGGAGCTGAAGTCTCTTAAATGGACGTGTAGCAGAGCAGCTGGTCGGCACCACTCATGGGATCCATAGTCTGATACACACATCTGTGCCATTCAATATGACAGACAACAACTGGCTACCAGTCATATTACAGTGGCCTCAAATCACATTAGAGCACACTGCACTGGGGAGGAATTGAGGGTGCTATTCTGGTCGAGGCAACAAGAGCCCTCTAAGGTAGTTAGACCTGCAGCGGAGTGTACCACTGTTTAAGATCTGCTACTCCAATCCCGTTTTTAGTGGGCCTTCAGAACACATAAGATTGTCATTTACCAACACTTTTTTTTTCTTGGTTAAGCATCAAAGACATCAGAGATGCATGTGATGTTGTTACGTTTTCTAGACTTATTGCAGCTGGGTGAAAAGTGGAGTTAAAGACATCAGGCATCATATAGCGACCAAAACATTTCCTTAAAACTGAATCTGTGAAGCACTCTTATATACCATCTATTCTTATATCCCCACGACATCTTCTCTTACTAGAGGGAATTATATGACATTACAAGGCCAGTGAAGCCTGGTGCTTGATTGCAAGGGGAAATGGAGGAAGAAAGGGAACGATGGATTGATGAATGGAAGGATCAGGTGATGGATGGACGGGTGGAGGAGCGGAGACTGATCTCCATATTGAGGTCTATATTATTCTGACCAAGATATTCAGTACCTACAGTTGAGATTGAGCCGGGCCAAGCCAACACTTTTAGTGTATTTGTGTCTGTACATGTAAGCTTGCATGCACAAAGTCATTCGTCACTTACCCCTTCTTCACTGCCTTGTCTTTGCTCTTGTCTTTGTTCTTGTCCTCTCTGTCTCTTCCTCTGCCCCTGTCTCTCTCTCTCTCCTTCTCCTTTTCCCTCTCCCTCTCACGGCCCTTGCGCCGGCTCCGGTCCCGCTCCCTGCTGTGGCTGCGGCTCTTTCGGCGAGTGCGGCTGCTGCTCCTTTTGCGACTTTGGGTCACTCGTCGGCTGCGACTGCCGCTCTTACTGCGAGACCTCCGTTGGCGAGAATGGGACCTGGAAGTCATAAAACACAGGACATATTACACAGCTGTTTAACCACTGAAAGTACATTAAATAAATATCTATTTGTACTTTCTCCTCTTCAATGTAAGAGACGAGATTCTGGTATTTTCCACATACAAGTACACAAATACAATAGCAGTGTAAGATATCACCATCCTGTACTAAGTCTTAAGTTATATCCACTTCTGCATTCTTCAGTTAACCATTGCCTGTATTTCCCAAAATGCCTTACTACTAATGTGGCTGACAATGTTTCAATTAGCTTTCAGTAATGCATGTGTGTGTTAACAGTGAGAGTTGTGTGAAACAGTCATACTACGCCGATGGAGGACTTGTTAAATAGCCAGTGCAGGTGATACAGCACATTGCTTGTCGAGTAAAAGACGGTCCCTCTATGATGATTTCTACCTGAGAAGATTGTTAAAGTATGTTATGAAAAAGTCACAATATGCTAGTGTGTTCAGAAAAACAGCAGACATTAGGTCCCTTATTTATTTTAGCATTAACCTTTTTTGCTTTTATCATATATATTGATATTTTTTCGTACGGAAAGACATAAATTCAATTGCAATAAAGACTTGCAAACAGGTTTTTAGAAAAAGGATCAATAGAGCAAACTGAATCGAAACCAGAATGGACAGAATCTGCTGTAAATGAAACCCAACCCGACGCCCGACAAATCAACTTTGTGGAGATGGTGAAACGTCGGTTAACAGAACTTAAAATGAAACTCACTATGATACATTTTTCCTGGCGTGCAAAATTCATCCTTTATTGTATGGATCTAATAATACAGCTTCTGTACCATCACATACACTATGACTCAAACACACACACACGAACTGACACAGTAGAAATGGAGCCAATTAGAGGCGGGCTCAGAGGAAGGCCTGTCCTCGGTATTGATCCTGACATTGGCCCTCTGGTCTCAAAAAGATTAACAGCAGGAGATTTACTTTGTTAGTTATGACACACACACACACACACACATCATTTAGCCATCAACAAAAACTAATTGAAAGTGTAACTCATGCTTCAATAAAGTGCCATACACAGACACAAATTACCAAAACATAACGGCTCATTTATGTGTCACTGCACATGCCTATTAAAGGACCAGATCCTTCAACATATTGTGTGTGTGTGTGTGTGTGTGTGTGTGTGTGTGTGTGTGTGTGTGTATGTTACCGCATCCTGTGTCAGTGTCCATGCACATGCGTGTGGATGTGTGGGAATGATCATGATTTGAAACCCCAGTAGAAATCGGCAGCTGAGATGCCGTTATTTTCCATCATCTATCATTTTATTGATTTGTCTATAAAAACAGTCAAACCTGCTGTCCACGAGCTTTATTGCTTTCCCCCCTTTATTAGTTTGCAGTTTGGGACATCCAGAGCTGTCTCTCCCGACAGAAAACTAATCATTTTCTTCGGACGCCTGTCACCATCCTAACAGACAACACTCTGACAACTGTTGCAATCAATTAGGCCGGGCTGATCCGGATCACTGGAGAGTAGCTGCACTAGTTCAAGGTCTCCAAAACAGATACTCTCTTTGAAAAATAACCCAAAACTAAAAAAGATATTTGCAGATTTTTTTGAAACCACAGAAGTGCAATCTGCAGAAAGCTAGTTCAAGAGCAGGACAATGAAAACATCTCCTTCAGAACATACTGTAGTGAATATAGTATACTTGAAATGTTAGTTTTATGTTGATGTTGAAATTCAGGACTAAAACATGAAAGATCAGCAGTCAAGCAAACACAGAAAATATTCATGTGTAGTCTGTCGTACTTAAATGTCTTATTTAACAAACCTTTAAGATTCAACTGTCACAGAAGACAAAAACGTAATAAATATATTATCAAAAGAAGGGCTGCAACTATTAGTTATCTATTAATCTGCCTGTATTTTTTTTTAGTCATCACATTTAAAAAGCTTTAACAAGATACATGTGGAATTATTTATTGCAAAAACTATTAATTGAATATCAAAATATTTGTTGTCACATCTAATCATTGGAGCTCTAGTCAAGACCTATACACTTTTGGTATTGCTTAAAGAAAAAAAACATGCATGATTAATCATTTATCAGAATAGTTACGGCAGGCTAATTGATCGGCTTATTGTTTTAGCTCCAGTTAAAATACAACCACATTATTTGAGCAGTTGCAGCGCTACTCTTTTTTTCCCGCCATTATTAACTTCTCCTGCAGTAAAGCCCGTCTCGTTGCATTTTGCTGAACAGCCAGGTACTAAAGCAGACACCCTGGAGTGATGATCACAAATAATTACATATCTGATTCAGAGGTGAAAGCAGTCATCAGGAAATTTGATATAGCATATTGAATACAGTGTTTATTGGAGCTACGATTAGGCTTGTCAGAGAATCACAGCTAATGGAAAAAAGAAAAAGAAAAACATTGGCGTTTTTGGGGTTTGGAGTCTCCAGGCGAGATAATCCATCAATGGCCCAAACAGACTTTGGAATGAGTGGATCTATGTGTTGACAATGCCTGCGTATGTTTGTAATCAACAGTACATGAGGGGAAATATAACAGAGTTTCTCTGTTCCCAACCAAAGTCTTGTATTTACAGCCAAGCAAATTGTGGCCAGAAGCAGCAGATGCAATAAACACAATCTCTCTCTTTCTCTCTCTCCGTCTCTCTCCGTTTCTCTCCGTTTCTCTCTCCCTCTACCTCTGATGGCAAAGAAAACAGCCCACTTCTGGGGTGTGCAGCAAATTAAATTTACTGTAGTTAATAGAGTGAGCCTATGCTGCTAAATGTCAATTTCCTGACCAAGTCCTTCCCCTTGGAGAATGATTAGCTAATTTGGGCTGGGGATAAATGGGCTAATGCAGGACACACACAGATAAACAGCCACAGTTGGACCCCATGCCAAGCCCTTCCTCTGCTTTACATTTCATTGGCCTTATTATCTCCAGGGAAAATGGGTCCCCCTATGGCCTAAACATATTTTCATTTCTAATAAAAGGCCCTTGCTGGTTTCCCCCACGTACAAACCCCCCTCGCATATGCACTGCTCCCACACCGCCTCCTTCCTCCATTCCCTCGTTTCACAGCCCAATCCATTAAATCGGAGCTCTGCAATTGGCTGGGACCGTTTTCCTGGTGAATTATCAATAGAGTAATTATGCTGCATGTTGGGAGCCGGGCTGAAGCTTATCGCCGCTGACCCCCCGGTGTGCGCCAGGATATGATCCCTCACCACAGCCCATTGGGGTAATTATGTGGTCGGGTGTGAAGCTGGATGGTGTGTTACCCTTATCGGACTGTATTCTATTTCTGTTTTCATTGAAAATTGGACATTAATGGCTACGCGATACCACTAGTGTCAGATACAGGTGGACGTCTCCAATGGAATCTGACCCTATTTAAATCATTATTCATACTACGCGGTGTAGGCACGGGGAACACATGAATACACACAAATAGACCAATTATCCTCACTGTTCCTTTAACCTTATCTTCCCAGTATTTATATTGTTTCTTCGTTTCACCATCCACCATCCTCTGTTGGGAGGAAAAAACAAAGTTCATGTCCATATTATATTTGTCCGGTGGCAGAAAAACATCCCACAGCAAGTGAAGTTCTGAGTGATGCCCCGTGCGGCATGTCTGTCCATTAGGCCAGTGTGGCGCGGCAGTGATTAATGGCAATGTAACTTTAACCCTATCGCATTTCATTGGACGCTGACGACAGTGACCTCTGCCTGACCAGTCTTTCTACCAACAATACACTAAGCTAGAGAAGATATATGAGGAAAGATAGACTTACAGGTGTAGTGGTGTGTTTCAAGATCCCCGTGTCTCAGTTTCCAAATAAAAACAAATTATAAGATCATAATATTGAAATTCATTTTATTTCTTTAATTGAAAATGTTGCATCTTAACATCGATTTGACTGTGTTCATTTACAAGTGTCTCTACCTTCTATTGCACATATTGTATTTGTCTTTTTTCTGAAAAGTGACCCCAGAGTTATCTGAGCATATATTATTTTTAGCTTAATAAGCAGTACATGCTAGTAAAATATAATAAGTTTGTCATTTTAACAAAGATAAAACAAAAGAGTTTCAACAAATACACATTTTGTGACTCTTTTTGCAGTATCCAGGTAGCTTTTTATTAAGAGCCGAAATAGTTATTGTCATTCGTCTATGAAATAAGTGCAAAATTATGAGAGTCATAATGTGCATTCAAACAATAGTAACGGTGTAATGTTGGACAGACTACATAGAGATGGCACCATATACAATTTGTTAAAATGTAAAGCACACACACACACACACACACACACACACACACACACACACACACACACACACACACACACACACACACACACACACACACACACACACACACACACACACACACACACACACACACACACACACACACACACACACACACACACACACACACACACACACACACACACACACACACACACACAACTTTTCCGAGCAACAGACAGATTGAAAAAGAAACGGGCCTATTGAAAGAGAGCAGATCTATATTTGAAGAACTTCATTAATGCGCTGTTCCCCGCCGAGTTATTTCCAGTGACAGAGCACACAGCAGCAGCTTCATGTTCAAGTTAAAAGTCACTTTTCTTTTTTCTGCCATTTCAATGTGTCCAAAAGCACCTTGAGTGAGCAATGTGCATTTCCTGCTGCCAAAAGACGTGGAAAACAGCTGTTCCTTCCCAACGCTGCCTGCTGAATGGAATGCAAATATGTTAACCATCCAGAATGTATTACTTTTGAGTGCTCTTCAAACGCAACGGCAGACACAAGTTTAATTTATGATATTCCTCTAATTATAAGAGCTGTTGAAATCATTTCCCAAGCTGCTTCCTCCTTCCAAGCAGCCATATTATCTGTTCCCTTGGTTCACAGCACATGCAAGCAAACAAACACACACAGATACACACACAGTCATCCACCATGCTCACCCACACAG